CGTTAGAGGCATTTTCTTTCTTACTGGTTAATAAAACAAAAAGGATTTTAACCAAGATCCAGTAAATGATGGTGGTGTAAATGACTCTTGGCTGTTTCTGTTATGCTTGCCTTTAGAGGCGCCTTTATTTATGGAGCTGAAATGGGGTCCAGCCGGAGTAAAAGCAGCCCTGTGGGTGAAAGGTGGCCTCTCTCCTGTATGGTAGCAGGTGGACTTATGAAGGAAGAGGGAAGGGAACCGGCATGATGCCTGGACACAGACACACTCTCAGGAAAGCCACTTCTAGATAAGAGCATTTACAGAGGTTGTCCACCAGCAGTGGGATTCCCTTCAAAGGGCTGCATGCCCCTGGGAGAGTGTACACCCTCAGGGATTTGGGGGGCTCAGCTGAGGATCACTGCTGTAATGGATGAGGAAATAAACTTACCCTGAGTGGCTGGGGGAATGGGGGAGCTGTGGAGCAGCAGGTTTGGATTCATGTTTTACAAAACGTTCCTCAGCTGAGGGGTGTGTGCCACTCACAAACTGTCAGTGTGATGGCCTAGCCTGCTCTTGTGACACTATATCGTTAATTGAGAAAATAAAGGCATGCAGGTCTTTGCCTTTTGTTGCCAAGCAACATCTTTGTAAACAATATTTAAAGTAAGTTTTGTCCCCCTCTGCTGGTGTACATCATTATTGCAGACTACTTTCCATCTACCCATTGATCTAGATTTTTAGCGCTTAAAAGACCTTAAATATCACACACCTAAGCCCTTGGTGTTGTCACTCATCCATTCATAAGGTTAGAAAAAATATGATACATTTTTTTGCTTTGACACATAGTATATTGTCTAAAAGAACTCCTGAGATTGTTTTGGACTCCGTCTTTCGACTATAGGACTATCTGTAGGTGCAGAATACAGCCTGACTAGGAGGGCTCTGGTTTGCATGTGCAACGCCTGCTGACAGGCAGTTTATTTTCCTATGCTCTACAAGGTCAGATTAAGGAAACTGTTAATACCTACCGCTGGCACCTTTCATGTCAACAGATATTTCCATATATCTCCCAACCCCTTTACTGGCTTAGCCAAGCCTCCAAGCTGAGGCCCGGGCTCCATGGGTCCAGAGGCCCTCGTGCTCTTGGTTGTGGGTTCGGGTTGGTGCCGTGTGTCCCCAGATGGGGCCTCTGCATCCACCAGTGTGAGGGGTGGACTTTTTCCAAGACCCCTTTCTCCTTCATCTTAGTGCCCCATTACTTCTGTTGGCCATTCCTTTCCAGAAATCCTTTATCCGCTTGGCTTCTATTACATTGAACTTTACAGATTCTTTTACTTCTTTGAAGTCGCCTGTTTTCTTCTTTGCTTCCTCTTCCTCATCTTAGCTCCAAACTATTAGATAATCTCCAACAATTTATCCATAGGCTCTGTTTTCATCTTGAGCAACCTCAGCTTCCTGCCATGTCACCTTCTGCACAGGTGCTCTCAAAGTCACATCTTCAGCCTGAAGTTCCTCCAAGCTCTTGTCCTCCATCTGCAGCTACACTAAACTATGTTCCTTTGGAGCTTTTTCTGCCGTTTCAAACTAAGCACGTCCGAAGTGAAACGTATCTTTTTATCTCAAGTCATCATTGCCGCACGACTCATCTCTTCCCCTTAATGTCACTTCCACTGCTTGGGATCCCCTGCTCCATGTCTGGCTTCCTTCTTTCATTTGCCTCTTGTGTCTATACTCAGCTTCCAGGTCCTTCTGCCTGGTCTCTAAAACTGTTCATTGCTTTCCATTTTCATTGCTAAGATGTTGCCTTCTTGTCATTTCATTTTTGGATATTGTTGGGCCTTCTTATTCGTCCCTTTGTGTCCTGTCTGCTTGAATTTTAGAAATGTGCCTCTGGAAACACCTAGGGGTTTTCTGCTCCAGAAACTGGCATTTGGAGTCGTGCACACACAGTCCAGCCTTCTCTCACTCCTCAACATTCTGACCTTTCTAGCATAGCTAATATGATCTCTTCCAAGCCTCAGGTATCTTCTGGTCCTTGGCATGATCTAAAACATAGTCTGTGTAGCCACTTCCTTTTATTTCCAAGTTCTGCTTGTCTTCCAAGTCCTGGCACAAAGGTCCCTTCTCTATAAAGGATATCTCTCCTGTTCCACTCTCTTGAATTGCATAGCTCATAGTGTATTATGACTGCGCATCCAGAATCACCTTGAGATGTCTTTTGAATTATGGTCTAGCTATTTAATCCTTGTCCTCTTCAATCTTAACAAGTATCTGTCTTTTCAGCAAAGTCTAGGTATAAATGGCACATCGCACACAGTCGATGTTTCAGAGATGCTCTGAATTAGACTGGTGGAATTCCTAGCACAGTTGTGGGTCAGAAGATGGGATTCGTAATCTTGTCTGCCCTCACAGTCTCTTTCTGTACAGTCCTCAGATTTCAGGTTGACTGTCTCGCTCTGTGTGTATGTTTACTTTAGCTGCAGATCCCTAGTGTGAAGGGCTTCGACTTTGCTAAGCAGCATCTGGGTCAGCACAACAAGGATGACGTCTTGATTATTCATGAGCCAGCACCACTGCCGGGACCGGTGAAGGACCACACCACGCCCTCTGAGAATGGAGACGTGCCGAGCCCCAAGGCAAAGATCCCTTCCAAGAACGTCCGGCACAGAGGAAGGTTTGTATTGGATTTTCTGTGTTGTTCTCTATCACAGAGCATGTTTCCATTTTCAGTCTCACTTTCTAGAGCCAGAAGGGCTGCCGGTGAGCACTTCTGGAGCCATGACAGCCTGCCAGGAGTCAGACCAAGGGCTCTCAGTCGCTCTTATGGACTAATGAAGCAGGCCATATGCCTTCTGCCCTCAAAGTGCTTAGGATTATGAGTCCCTGTTGGTCATGGCTGGATGGTCGGTCCCTCTGGGACTTGATTAGGCATTGACCAGCTCTAGTCTGTATACGCCAGGATGACCGTGGTAGGCCCTGTGGAGGTGTATCAGAAATAATACGTAAGTGCGTGACACACGATGCACATTCAGTCACGCCTGGCGTTGCCCCTGCACGTTATGCCTGGGGCGGGGGTGACTTCACCGCTCTGTCTGCACGTGACCACCTTCTTCTCATCCTCCTTTCTTTGCTCGGTGAGAATACAAAGTTCAAAATCAGGTTTTATTAAGTTGACTTCAGGTCTTAGCATGATCACACTTTGGCTATTTCAGCCTCAAATGATCAGCTTTCCTGTGAGCTTTGGAACTCCAAATCCTGATTTTCTGCTAAGAAGGGAAAATGTGTGTGATCATCCCAGCATTCAAAACGATGTCATAATTTCTGATTTATCAGAAAACCTACCCTGGGGGTTCTGACCTAGTTTTAAGAATTTAATGGATGTTAGAACATGATCTTTACAAAAGAAAATGAATGATGCTGAGAAATGTTATTTGCCTAATTATCTTGTGGACTAAGAATAAATCAAATAATTAAAAATTATTGAGTATGCTAGTACAATTTTGCAAAGTATTTTCTTCTCTCCTGATAGTTTCATCCTAAACACTTAGTCACAACATATCAACGGTCTGCATGGTTAATAAAAAATTTTAGCATTCATCAGGGGCACCAGAATATTTTCGCATTCCATGTTGCAGTTTAAGCCAGTGAGTACAAAGAGAAGGGGTGCTAACTGGTTAAGGATTTTCACCAACGTGGTGCAACCTCCGTTCATGATACCCTTGCTTTTTACATATAGAATCAAATCTCAGTAGTGATCATTGTGTTGTAAGTGTAGGCTTTGTCCAAAGATCTGGAGTTCTGTGGTGTGACTGCAGAACTACCCCGGATTCCTAGGAATTCTGCAGACCTGCTCAACCTGGAACCAGGCCTGAAACCTACCCAGGTCCTCTGATAAAAACCCATGTCAAAGCCGGAGTGCCAGTCCAGGGCCCTGGTGGCTGAGGGACTGCCCTCCAGCATTTGCTGAAATACAGCCTGCCGAGCCATTTGTGAGCCTTCAGGAGGTGGTCCTTGAAGATATGCTGTGAGATAAATTTTTGAACTGTTTCTACAAGTTTTGCCTGGTATCCCAATTAATGTGACCCTTTCCCCTCTTTTTTGCTTTTTTCTAATGTTTGCATTTGTTTGTGTCTGCAGAGTTTCTCCTTCTGATGTTGACTCTACAGTAAGTGAAGAGTCCAGTGAGAGGGAAGCAGGAGACAAGACGCCAGGAGCAGTGAACAATGGCAAGTCCCACCGAGCCCCACAGAGCCCCACAGAGCGGTCTGGGACTTGTCTCTTTCTCTAAGTTAAAAGGAATTATGAGATTCCAATATGCTAGGGGTTTACACTACTTCAAATGCTAAGCGTTTAAAAAAAAAAATCTGTTCAGTGGAAGATTCATCATTCATGTGGTGAATTTCTCAGCATGGATTGTCACCGTCTAACTTTGTATTTGTTTATGTTGAAGTGGGAAGCCATGCTAGAGGTTAGGGATTCACTGAGGTATGTTTTGAGGTTAATAGTCACATTCTGTTTTAGCTTAGAGTCCTAATGATTTCCCTTGCTAAAGGACGAGGAGGAATCAAACTGAAACCAGTCTCAAAACTGCCTCCAGGATTCAGTAACTTTCTTAGTAGCCAATTCAAGTATGTCCCAGCTATCACTGGGACATATATAAACAACTATGAAAGTTGTTTATATATCGTAAGTCTAAGTGCATTCCATTTGGTTCTTTTCCTAGATCTTTCTTCCAGCAGGTAGTTCAGTATGATCAGATGACTAAGCATATATATATTTGTAGTCAGATGTTATTTGTACCTTCTCAGGGCCAGAAGGATGAACTTCATTCCCTTTCTAAAAGGTATTGTCATGAAACTTATGTGCTGTAACACAACTAAGCCCAGAGTTGTTAATAGGCTTGGGAGTATTTCCTGGAATGATGACAGGTAGCTTAGGCTTAGTTTAATAGATTCTGTGAAATAAATATGCTAGTATACCTGTTGTATTTGCTAGAATTTTATTTATACTTTAGGACTGTATTCCAGTGAAGCAAAAAAAATTGGGATGCCTCAGGATATCATTTTAATAGTAATTTTTATACATTGTAATTACAGATTTCTCTGTATGAAAATACTGTACAGAGTGTACGATATTCTATAACTGAACAGATTCTGGACAGAAGCTGGAGGGTCTGTTCTCATTGTCATGCTTGTGACCTTGTAGAAGTCCCTTAGCCTTTGGGACTACGAGGGGACTCCAAGGGGACTAATCCAGCCAAGTTTTGAGATTCAGGCCAGCTGCTTCCAGTTTTTTTCTTTTTTGTTGTTAGAGAAATATCCTCTTAGAATAAAGAAATGGTTTTTTCTTTGGATCCAATTTCACAGAATCTTAAAAATTATTTAGCACCATGGTAGTAACAGGTGCACTGTTTCAGATAGGATTAAAATCTAATTTTCATCTGGAAAAGAAGTATGAAAATGAAAAAAAAATCATCTCTGGAGTTTCTCGAGTTCTGTTAATTGCACATCTGAGAAAATCTTGCTTTCAGTTCTTGCACTTAACTCCTTACTGACCCGTCGCAGTTGGTCTATTCTGCATGGCTAACAAAAATCAGATATCACTCTTAATATACATTCAAAATCCAAGTAGTAACATGTCAACTTTGGGCCTGAGGGCTGGCTGGGAAAAGCGACCAAGTGGAGTAGGTGTTCCTGCAGGTCCTGGAAGCTCAGGTGCCACTATTATGATGTGAAGACCCCAGAATCTGTACTTTATTTCCATGTTTTCATATGATGATTTTTTTTTCACCACAAATATCAATTCAATTGTAAAATTTTGTTTATAAGCTTCTTTAAAGCTTTCATGCTGTCGTAAAGACATTTTACTGTTTGCATAGAATTTAATGGAATTACCCTATGGAAAAGATTCTGAGTTTTTAATCATAGCATTTGACTTACTTTGTAATTCATGCAGAATTCCTTCTTTTGTTGTAAGTCATAATGAAATACAAATCAATGGAGGCAGGAAATTGCTTGAGAACATTCTGGGCCCCTCCTCCACGTGGCCTGGGCCCAGCGGTCCCTCTCACCGCAGCAGGGGGCATGGCTGCTGGGTCTCTGTAGACAGTCCGGCAAGACTGTCTGGTGGCCATCGTAGGTCATCTGGTATTTTCAGGACTCACCTTGCCATGGAAGCTGAGAAAAGATCATTGTTTAGGTTTTGACCAGTTCCAGGTGGTATTTTATCCTCTTCCCACCTGAACATTTTTGGAAGGCGGCTAGACCATGATATGGACCCTTACGAGGCTACTTACTCAAATGTCACTGAGTTCACAGTTACTGCAGTTATAGAATAAGACATTATTACTACTGGTTTCCTTAGCAAAGTTGTGTGAGAGAGATGAGATAGAGTCACACACCTTCCTGGAGGGAAGGCAGCAACATTTAGGCTGTCACCGTGCTGGCATTGCTGTGTCCTTGTGTAATGTAATGTCCCGCTGTCCTCTTTATCATCAGGAATATACCAAGTAGGCAAGGACTGTGATGCTGAGTATTTTCTTTATGTTCCTTGTAGGTTGCATGTGTGCAAGGGTGTGATTTTTAAGTAGCAAGAACTTCATTAATTTGAATTCCGCAAATTCCAGATTTCTAGAACGCCATGTTGGACCAGCCTGACCCCTCTCTGTGTGTGCACTTAAGAGTTGGCAAAGCAAATTACTGGTTTTAATGAGACTGCAGGGCAACTGTTTTGACTACCTATAACATCAGGGTTTTTCAAGTAACTTGTGTTACTTGAATGTGTGACAAAATGATTGTGATGGTAATTTATATTCCTATCTTTTCATTAAGGCAGATTCCCAGGGGCCTCTTTGAGGTAGAATTACATGAAGTTAGTTGAGGTGACTAGTTATTTAGCCATCTATTCAGCAAATATTTACTAAGTGCCTGTGGTGAGTTAGGTGCTGGAATAGGACGAACAGCAGACAGTGTGGTCCTGCCTCACAGGATAGTGTTGGGTAGTAATACAGGCATTGGTAATAATACAGTTTGGATTTACCTTTAGATAATGATCTAATGTAGCATTACAAGTGTTCGATTGCTTCAGCATTTCAGTAATTCAGATGGCCCTTTCCTCTGTCATTCTGTTTTCTTGACATTATCCTATATTGTACTTTCTACAGTTCATTTTTGTTTTGTTTTTTATTTGAAGAGAAAGGAGTTTTGATCCAACGTCCCTACTTGCCTTAAGGCAGGATTCACACAGATTAATCTCTGTATATCCATCGTACAGCAAATGATAAAATAGCCCAGTTTTTATGTATATATAGAGGCTTTCTGTGCTTCTCCATCTTCTGCAATTGCAACTGGTGAATTACAGAAGGAGGGTCCAGGACCACAGTTGCAAGGTGGGATGGAGCATGGACGGGAGCTGGTTGCAGGCCACAGCTTGCTGGTACCCAGGCAGGCTGCACAGGGTGGAGGGGCCTTTCTTCCTCTGCTGCCTTTGCTCCTTTTGGTCTTTCTGCCATCCTGGAAGAAAGTGGTCTCACCTTTTGGTAACAGTAGCTTCATGGGATACCCTTTTTGATATCTGCTGTTACTTTGGAAGCTTGGGTTAGCAAGGCTAGCCTATCTGGTGAAACTGATTATCTCCTTTTAGGCATTGTGTCTGCAATTTGAGAAGCTGCCACCAGATGAATGGTGGTGCTTGGCTGTGCTTACACTGCACAAATAGGCTCCCTCCCGGCCCAGGCCAGGGAATGAAAGTCTGGGAATAGCCTGGATCCGAACAGTTATGCCTCCTGGCAAAGACAGACATCCTTCTTCACAGTTATATAAATCATTTCTAATCTCTTGGGATAACAAATGAATATACTTCAAATTGAGAGGAAATGCAAAGACTTACATACCAGACATGCTTTCCTTATGTAAAATATCACCTACTATTTCTTACTGCTTTGCTTAACTCATATTATTTTAAAGCAGTGTCCAGAACATTCAGAGGTGACTGTGGCTTATTAGAGGGAGGGCGTCAGTCATCTTAGAATATCTAACTAGCTCTGTAGAGCAGTTTACATCCATTCACCCCTCTTTGTCTTTCTCACTTGGCCTTTTTTTTTTNATTTATTGATCAAATGGTTGTTAACAACAATAAAATTCAGTATAGGGGGGTCAATGCTCAATGTACAATCATTAATCCATCTCAAGCCTAATTCTCGTCAGTCTCCAATCTTCTGAAGCATAACGAACAAGTTCTTACATGGTGAACGAATTCTTACAGAGTGAATAAATTCTTACATGGTGAACAGTACAAGGGCATTCATCACAGAAACTTTCGGTTTTGATCATGCAATATGACCTATAAACCATCAGGTCAAATATGAATATTCATTTGATTTTTGTACTTGATTTATATGTTGATCCCACATTTCTCCTATTATTATTATTATTTTTATTTTTAATAAAATGCTGAAGTCTCACTTGGCCTTTTTAAAGTTGAAGTTTATTGGGATTATTTCTACGATAAAAGTCATACTCATTAGAGAATTCCTCACTACAGAATACAAAAAATTGGAGAAAATCATCCATTATACCAATATCCAATCTCTGTTAACATTTTAAAGTGTTTCTTTTCAATCTTTTTTCTGTACATTTAATATTTTTTCTTTTTTGCAGTTCTGATTACTTCTTTAAAAAGTTATTGTGGTAAAATATACCTTCCATAAAATTTATGCTTTTGACCATTTTAGACTATATTCTTCATCTCTTTAAAGAGGGAACAAATTCCTTGCAGACAGCAGCTTTTTCTTCTAATACCTCTTCAATTTATTTTTCTTCCTGCATCAGAATGAAAGACCAGAGGTGTTCATTGTTAGCCAGTATTTGCCTGCATGTCCACATCCTTTGGTTTTCTCCAGATTATAATTGCCTTGGCAATTAAATTTACATCACTCTAAATGATAGAAAGCTCAGAGCTGCTATGAACATTTTCCTAAAAGTTGTGTAAATTACTTACTGACTAACTGAGCAACTGCTGGTTCTTCCTGCCCCTTACCTTTTCTTACCAAGACTTTGAAACACCTTTAGACAAAACAGGGCAATTTTTTGCACAGTGTGATAATGATTGATTTAGTTGCTATTTCTTTAGGATGATTTTAATTTTTTGCCTTTCCTTCTGCTCTAGGCCCACCACCGCCCAGTTCAGGGAACGAGCAGCACTCATCAGCCTCCATCTTTGAGCATGTGGACAGGATCTCCCGTTCCTCGGAGGCCAGTCGGCGGGTCCCCAGTAAGATCCAGCTGATCGCTATGCAGCCGATCCCAGTGCCTCCGGTGCAGCACTCCATACTGGCTGACCGGGTGGCAGAAACCAACAAAATTAACAAAGAGGTATTTTTTTAAATTAAAAAGCATCTTTATAAAAACTCACAGTATGACTTTGGTGCTTAAAACTGAATGAAAGTTACAGTGTCAAAAGGTGTGAGCTGCTGAGAAGTATTCTTAATTTTTAATATTATCCTCAGTCTTTTTAGATCAGATACTGTTCAAGGACACTATGAGGTGCATGGGCAGAGGTGCAGCAAAGCATTAATGTAGCACACGTGAGACGGCTATCTGTCCCAGTCTTGCTTTGGCCTGTGGTTGGTGTTTAGAAACTGGCATTTGGGGAAGATTCCCACCATTCCCAGCAAAGAGTGGTGTGCAAACAATTGTGCAAACAATATGACTTATGCTGAACATCTGTTTTACTTGCAGCAGTCTGGAGTTTTGGTACATGCTAAGCAGAGAGTGCCTATATGACCAGCCCCTAATAAAAATCCTGGGCATCGAGTTACTAATGAGTGTCTCTGGTAGGCAACATTTCACATGCCTATCAATAAGTCACAACTCATTGCTAGAGGAATGAAGCATGTCCTATGTGACTCCACTGGGAAAGGACTCTTGGAAATTTGTACCTGGTTTCCTCCAGAACTCACCCCCTGGTGCTGTTTCCCTTTGCTGATTTAGCTTTGTGTCCTTTGTATCACTTTAATAAGTGGTACTAAATGCTGAGTCCTGAGTTCTCTTAGTAAGTTATTGAAATTAGGGTGATCTTGGGACCACTGTGGACTTTGTGGTCCCTGATAAATCTGCTCTCATCCCAAGGATCTAGATAATTCCTCGTGAAACCCTATTCCAGTAAATCCTGGAAGAGTGGGTTAGATCTACTTCCCTCCTAAGATTTTGGGAAACAGAAGGCCAGGCCAAGTCACTGTTAACTTGAACTTGAGAGATATGACCTGGGCTGAATAATGAATGTGAATATTGTCTTTAACGTCTTAATTTGAAAAGCTCTAAAGTAGTGATCTTACTGGGTATGGAAAATGGCTAGCCTCCCTCAGGGCGTATTATACTGGTTGTCAGTGTCCCTTAGTGTCTCCGAAGTTGTCACAGGCCGATTTCCCGGTTAGAGTTATTTCTGCCTGGGTCTGGGGGCTGACACCGGGGCCCCCTCCTCGCACACGCTCAGCCTCTTCGGGGATCCTGCCCCCCGTGGGCGCCCCTAACCAGTGGCGCCCTTGCGGCCCCCTGGGGGGCCTCGTGGGAGCCCAGGGCGTGGTCGCGGGAAGGAGCGTGGCGGTAAGGTCCTCCCAAAAGGCGCCCTCCGAGGGGCCCCAGAAACCTTCGAGAACGTTCTGTGTGTCCCCAGATTCAGACGGCGCTGCGGCACAAATCCGAGATCGAGCACCACCGGAACAAGATCCGGCTGCGCGCCAAGCGCCGCGGGCACTACGAGTTCCCAGTGGTGGACGACCTGTCGTCGGGCGACACGCGGGAGCGGGAGCGGCACCGGGTGTACCGCCGGGCGCAGATGCAGATCGACAAGATCCTGGACCCCACGGCCAGTGTGCCCTCGGTGTTCATAGAGCCCCGGAAGAGGTGGGGCGCCGGGCCGAAGGGGGAGTCTGCGGACACCCCCCTGAGGTTTAGCAAAGAAAGGCCGCGCCGCTGGGCCGCGTGCCTTCTCCCGCCTGCACCGTGCCTTCTCCCGCCTGCACCCCGGATGCCTCGGGACGCTGTCCCCGGCTTGCTCTCCCCTCCGGGCCTAGGCCCCTGTCCTTCTCCGTCCGCCTCTCCCTGCCCCGTCCCGCGCTCACCCCAGAGCTTCGCCCGCCTGGTCACCCAGCTGGCTGCCCGGGGGCCTCTTATTTCTTTTCCCACAGCTCGCCTCAGAGCCCCACCGCTAAGGCAGATGCATTTTCTGTAAACGCTGCTTTCAGGTACACTTTGCCCAACACCTGAAACGGCTTAGGTCGTTTTGATTGTCTGCTACGTGTCTGTGCTTGTGTAACAGGAGGGCCCTGCCTCTCCCGTCTAGCCGCTTCCCAGGCTCCATTGGCACAGACACATTCCCACCAGTAGCCACTCGCCTCACTGCCCCCAGTGTTCATCTGCCTCCCTGTTTCTGGCCCTTGGCATTGTCGTGCCTGCACCTCAGACCCTCTTCCCAAATCCCTTCCAGTCCCCGCAGCAACTGCTTGCTCCCCAACACCCAGTTCGGGCCCCAAGAAGCCAGCCATGGTATCAGCGGTTCACGCTGCCCTGGCCCTCCTCTGAGGGTCTGTGGCCAAGTGTCAAGCTACGTTCGGCCCCACAGCACCGTCTGTTGTTCCGTGTTGAACATAGCCTGCCCAGCCAGACCCCAGCTCTCCTAGAGCAGAGACCGTGCTTCACTTCGTTTACATCCCTGGGGTGTTTGCTGCAGGGCCCTGCACATCAGGTGCCCTGGAAATACTTAGCGTTTACTCGATGAGCCCATGACGGGAAGGTTTATCACCCGTGAGGACAACCTCTTTTTCTCCTGGCAGCTCGAGGATAAAACGCTCCCCTAAGCCGCGCCGGAAACACCAGGTCAACGGCTGCCCTGGAGATGCTGAGAAGGACAGACTCATCACCACCGATAGCGATGGCACTTACAAAAGGCCCCCCGGTGTCCACAACTCTGCCTACATCGGTTGCCCGGTGCGTTGGTGCTGACTTATGTTTCTCAAACAGGGTAGGATGGCTCCCTGACAAGCCTGGACCGTGGTGGCTGCTGCCCCGTGTGCTGTGGCTGCCCCGTGGCCAGTGCTCCTGGGCCGGCTGGGCATGAGGGTAGGAGGTGGGGAGGGGCGGCTGCTCCTGTGAGGGGAGACTTGAGCCAGGGACTAGGCGCTGCTGGGTGAGCCCTCTGAAAACATACTCCCTGTTTTTCCCTGTCATATGCAAGCCCTGTCCTCTCAGGCTTCAGAATGGGCACTTCTTGAGGATGGTTGGAAAACAGGAACATCCAGAAGATTATTTTTCTCCTGGTTAGAAAGTTATTTGGGTTTCCTGGTAATAGGAGGGATATTTAGAGTTTTGTTCTTCCCTTGTGCTCCCTGTGCTAAGAAGATAGTGTATTTTCTGATATATATTTAATTTTGATTTAACATATATATATATATATCTATTTTAACTTAAGAAAGAGCTTAATGGAAATTAAGAAATACAGAATTAAACATTTTTTTAAAACAGAAATGGGCATAGACAGTTGTAGTGTTAGAGGCAGACACTGATAGCACATACACAGACCCCATTGAGTAGGGGAGAAAGGACAAGCCTCTGCAAGGGTCTGTGAGAAATTCAGACCCAAAGACAGCCCAGGAGGGAGTGGGAACACCAGACTCCAGCAGTGCTTGGATGCCCGGTGGCCACCTGTAGCCGTGCAGCAGGGTGCAGCCCTGTCTTGTTGCACAAAACCCCTTCCTTCTTCTGGAGGCAAACTTACAAAGCCATCTTCTTCAGAGAGAAATCAGCAAAACACACCCTTAGGGAAGGGGCTTGTGAGGTACAAGATCACTTTAGACAGAGCTTGTGCAACCAGACATTTCTTACTTGAGTTTTATATTTTGTCTCCTGAGTTATACGTAACTAACACTGAAAGACACTTAACGCAGCTACACAAATATGCCAGACACCACACAGACATTTGGGTACATAATTGAATCATGATCGTCTGAAAGAACCAGGTTTTCCCTTGGGAACTTACTGTATTTCCAAGTCCTCAGGACTGACTGTGCCTCTCATACCTGCCCATGCCCATGAGGACTGGGATGATTCCAGAGGGTTGCAAGATAGACAAACCAGACTGCTTTGCACAGAATGAATGAGTTGTTTCTGGACACTGAGTTCCTGGGGAGGGGAACCACGGCTGGCAGTTCATATACAGTAGGTGGCGCTCTCGTGTTGCTGCCGTGCCTTTGGGCGGGTGGTTGTCTGGGCTTCTGTGCTGTTTGCTTCATTGGGCAGGGCTTGTCCCCTCTGCTCTCCAGGGTAGTCCCCTGGATCTTTTCTTTTTGACTCTCGCAGGGACCCGCAGACTCTGCTGTGTGAAACTAGTGCACAGCAGGAGGCATGTTCCTTCTCCCTGCTTCCTTCCCTGGCCAGCCAGGGCCATTGTCTCGCCAGTGTGCAGGAGAGTCTTTTCAGTCCCATCCCTCCTTTTCTCAGTAGCCCTGAGTTCCATCATCTAGTGCCACTGAGTTTGTGTAAGGAAGAACCTCTCTTCCCCTTGCTCTCTCTGTTTGCCTTCATCAGTGACCCTAAGTCAGGCTTCTTTCATGGGGACAAGGGCTGTCCTTTTTCTCCTTGTTCTTGTTTTTTTTTTTGTCTTAGCAGAAAGTAGAGACGTTCCTCCAGCTAGTGGAGGTTTTCTAACACCGAGTAGATTTTTTCAGGCAGTGTCACTTTTCCTCAGGGGAAGGGCCAGGGTCTGTCGTGTGGATTACCTAATGCTGATCAGGAGATTCCAGATTGACCTGTTAAAGGTCCTATTTTGGGGAGAGGTCGAAACTAGTTAAATCTTGGCTTGCTGCTGTGGGGCAAGTGTTTTTAGGCCTGTTGTTTCCTCTTTTCTTAAAACGGCTACCTAAAGAGCGGTCGGAACCACCATGAAGAACATCACTTCTGTCTTGGGAGTGTTAAAACACAAGATTCATCCAAGTAAATTTGAAGATCTACTTGGTTTATTAAATGATTCATGAATTGTGCAGCATCCCCTCTAGCAAGTAGCGATGCTCTGAATGGCAACAGAAAGGGAGAGGTTTTTAAAGACAGGGCAAGGAGGTCATAAATGGGAAATAAAGGATATTTCAGGTGAGGTCACCTTCATCTGGGTACAAAAAGGGTCTTATTAGGTGATTCCTCTGAGGCATGGAAAGGACACAGGTGACATTATCTTATCGGTGCTGACGGGTTAATTCCTGACTGCATTTCTGGGGGAGGTTGAAACCATTAAATTAGGTATAAAGCCCCGGTTTGGTGACTTGGCCTAGCAGAAGTGACCCCATGTTGGGACTGTGTCTTTCTTCTTAACAGGAGAGACCCTCTTACTTACGTGCATTTCCTTTTCTCCATCCTGAGCTGTTGAGTTGGCAGCACACGCCAACTGCAGTTTTCCCTTCCTACTCCTCAAGAAACCCAAGAGTGGGAGCAGGGCATGCGTGTGGACCTTTTATCTACCTCATAAGGAAAGGAACACAGGCCCCTTCCAGTGCTGTGTTGTAAACCAAGACCCCTTTGGGGCCCCAAATCCTTACTTAGACTTCCTAGATGACAGACATCACGTAGTAGGAACTTATTGAGATACTGAGTGCTGGAGAAGGGGACCAAGGTGTGCGGTGTGAGGGAATGAGACCTCCACTCACTGTTGGGGAGGGCAGGGCGCCTGCCCCAGCTCAGGAGGGCTGTTGCTCCTCCACAGCAGGTGTTTCTGCAGAGAAACAAGAACCCAGGGATGCTGAGCTTCAGATTCTGCCAAGAGAATTTGGAAACCTGGGTTTTAATGGGAAATTTTCAGATTTAAAAATATTGGTGCTCTGTTTTTTAAAGACTGCATGTGCCAAGCAAAACAGGTCTGCGGGCTGTTTGTGGGCTTGCCAGTTTGTAGTATGGTTTTCTCTCTATTCACTGTTAAGCAACTGCTTCCCTTGAGTGTTTGAGTAATAGCTGCTCATCTGCTAGAGCATAACCATTAGGAAGCATTTTAGACAGTTGGCCAAGAGTAAGGATCTGTCTGTGGGGAAGAGAGATTTTCTCTGTAATAGACTCACCGATCCAAGCACATGTAGGCTGTGGGCATGTCTTCCTTGGCCCCGTGAGTAGGGTGATCTGCCCAGCTGAGCTAAATAAACTGTGGAACACTGGGGTAAGAAGAGCATTCTAGATAGAAGGTGTCCACCCTTCCTCACACAGGGCGTAGGGTCACCGGCCCCTCGTGCAGAAACTCTTCTCTTTACAGCATGTCAGTTATGGTAACTGTGATGTTTGGGTTTTTGGAGCCGCTGAGACCAGAAGGGCCTCTCCTTTCAGTGCCTCCTTTGGTCTCGCACTTTACCCCATGTATGTTATGACAGCATTTTGCTCATAAAGTAATGTCAGGATGTAAGATTAAAGAAAACCTTAATTGTTACTTAGATCCTGCCTCTTTGACAGTGGGTATGGAATATAACTTAGAGCTTTCTTGATGACTTGTGTTATCCAGAGATACCTTGTTTTAAAAACAAATGGTTTCTGAATAAATAATATTTTTTATTTCCTGTTGTAACTAGTTGTTATAGGAAGTATTTAAAATTGCTTCTACATATACAGTTGCAATATGGTATAATATGACTTTGAATTCTTCTGGGGCTTTGTAAGGCTGTTTTTCCCATTGTTAGTAATCAACAGACTGCTCTCGTTTTTGGTATCTATGGCAGGTTGACTGGGTATTGTAGGTATAGACTCTGAGACATCACTGTTTAGGAGATTTTAATAAAAGTATATACTTACAGGTACTGAAATGCATTTCAAATAGCTGACTGAGTTTTGCTGGACAAGATATTGTTGAGTATTTTCCCTTTTTCTTTTATCCTAATTCAGGCTTTTCTCTGCCATGAAATGTAATGCACATTTAAAAAATTCTTATGGTAAACCTTTTCCTCAATGTCAAGTGAAAATTGTTAAATTCCATTTGGCCCCGGAGTTTTGTTTTCAGTTCACCACAGAAGCCTATGTCTGATCTTCTGTCCTTTGCCATCTTCCCTATCGTAGTCTGATCCTGACCTCCCGGCCGATGTGCCGACGCCGTCCTCAGCTGAGCTGGGGAGGTATCCGGGCTTGCCCTTCCCGGCCTCCCAGTACGTCCCACCCCAGCCGTCCATTGAGGAGGCGCGCCAGACCATGCACTCCCTCCTGGACGATGCTTTTGCCCTCGTGGCCCCCAGCAGCCAGCCCACCAGTGCCGTGGCTGCAGGCCCTGGGGTCCCAGCCAGCTTGCCCGTGAACAGCACCCCTTCCCGGGAAGACAGGCGAGCCACTCAGTGGGGGTCCTTCTACAGCCCAGCTCAGACGGCCAACAACCCATGCACTGTAAGTACTGACCCTTTAGAATTCTCTCGTTGACAAGATGGTGGAATTGTGTTGCCAGACCCTCATTTTCAGGATCCTTGCAAGACTCTGGTTGCATTTGGTAAGGATTGAAGCTTGCCTAATGGGTCTTCACTTTTATGATCTTCTCCTAAGTTAATTCGCAATGTTGGAAGCATCTTTTATGTAATTCTCATATTTTATGAAAGTCTCTTCCTGGGTTCCCTTCAATGTCATGAATTAGGGTGGGGTTATTGTCAAAACAGAGTCTCATTGATGTAAAAGGTGCTGTTTAGAATGTACCAGATCATTAGGCTGCTGCTTACAAGGCCACCTGGGACTCAAGAGACCCTTGAGGCCCTGGGAGTATAAGCAGCTAGGCTGTGAGCAGACAAGGACAACCATGTTCAGATATCAAGTGTGCATCCCAGGACTTGGCATTTTGGCATTTTATCTGCTGTTGTTCTCTCTTATTACTTTCATATTCAGTCAGTCCTGTCAAATGCACCTTCTCAAAACATGGGCAAAACTCAAGGGCATAACATGAAATATTATTTTCTGCTAATTTCAGATTAAACAAGGACTAAAACTTAATTTCTAGAGAAATGTTACTAGGTCACAATTTAAATTACTTCCTCAAGGAGTGTTTATAACGGGTTCCTCTGATTTTGTTACCCGTGGTAAGGTGAAATCAGTTGGTAATAAACCTAATGTTAAAAGAATTTTTATATCTAAAGTTGATTTGAATTTTCAAAGTTTGCTCTAAGTATTAGATTGTTTTCTTCAAGGCCTACAGTATAGATAATTGCTACCACTTTGGTGAAAAAACCATTCAATCGAGTCATTGGTATTTTCATATTAAGATACAGCTTGCTTCAACAAGTATTAAACCACTACACAATCATAACTGATAGTCTATAATCTTTAAAGGAAATGGATGATACGGAACAAAACTCATCTGATAAAATGCATGTGGTTACAGCTTTAAGCTTCTATCATTTGTTGATTCATTCAAATATATTTATGGAGCACCTGCTGTGTTCCGGGTACTCTGCTAGTGTTGGGGATCCAGTGGTGCACAGTGCCCAGTGCCAGCTTTTGCTTTCATATGGACAATTGAAGCAGCTATTCCAGTGCAGCACAGCAGGTACCATGGCAGGGAAAGTATGTGGGGGGAGCACCTGGCTGAGCCTTCATGTGTTCAGAAAGGATTTTTCTAGACAGAATTACATCTAAGTAGAAGTCTGAAGGATACTTAATGGTTGTCAGAGGAGAATAGTAATTCAGGTAATGGGGACACATAGCAAAAATACAAGTGGCTTGTACACAGTTCCTCTTCTGGACAAGATGGGGAAACAGGTGCTGGATTACCTTCCCTGCAGAAACAATTGAAATAACTGGAGGGAAAAAAGGCTGGACATTAGGCAGCAAAGGAGGGGATACTGAGAAATGAGCTGAGCTCTGCAGTCATACCGTCTTACTATCCTGAGAGCGTTCTAGCTGTGGTGCAGGGAGGCAGTCCCCAGGCAGAGCTCAGTGTTTGAACTGAGAAGACGGAGTTGGGAGGCTGGGGAGGTAAGGGCAGCTGGAGTTCACAACAGGAAGTACAAGAAAGCAGAGATGCACAGAGGTGTAATTCTAGAGATCTGCAGTGAATCTTCCTCTGAGTACTGATCAGTTTAAGGGTGTGAGCAAACTATCCAAGACTGGGCAAAGAACCACCCCAAAAGATTAGAGGGAGTAATCCTCAGAGCTACACAGCTGTGGGAATAAGTTCCTGCAGAGAACTGAATTGTGCCCTCCCCCGCCCCTGCAAACTGATATGCCTAAACTCCCATTTGAGTATTGCACATAGGGCGTTGCCGTTAAGGAGGTGATTCGAGTTAAATGGAGTCATAAGGTTGGAATCTTGATCAGATAAAACTGTTGCCCTTTCAGAAGAGGAAGAGACCCCAGAGCTCTCTGTCTGCCGTGTGAGGACACAGCAAGAAGGCAGTTGTCTGTAAGGCAGGAAGAAAGCTCTCACCAGAAACCAAACTCTGCCAGAACCAACATCTCTTGGCCTTTCCAGCCTTCAGAACTGTGAGGAAATAATTTTTGTTGTTTAAACCACAGTCTGTAGTATTTTATCTGGCAGCCAAGCTGACTAATATAGTCCCTTTTCCATCGGAGTGGAAAACCTCATAATTCATGGAGCACCAGGTAGAATATTCAGAAGGAACATTGGTTTGTTTCAGTAGTGGGGCAAAATTGCCCCAGATTAAAGATGCTCTGGTTCTACCTAAGAAAAAGCAAGATCTGAACTTGAACAAAATTCAAGAATACTTAAAGAAAAACAAGAATATACAGCCTCCAACAAGGTAAAATGAATCATTTCTGGCATTCAATCAAAACTAAGCAGACAAGCAAAGAAGCAGGAAAATGACACAGATGATACAATTAGTAGACAAAAATATTAAAAGAGTAATTATAATGGAGTTCCAAATGTTCAAGAAGCTAGAGGAAAGATTGACTGTATTAATTGGAAGCATTGAAGATAGCAAAGGAAACAAAATTTAGACATAAAAACTATACTGTTTGACATAAAATATATACTGGTAGGTTAGATAATTGTAGAAGAAAAAATTAGGAAACTTGAATACACAGTAATAGAAGCTATCCAACTGATGGGAATTGTAAATCAGCAGATCCACAAAGCTTAATGAGCCCTACACACAAGACACATGAAGAAAGCTATACTGAAAAGTATAATAATCAAACTGCTTAAAATAAATGAAAAGGTCTTAAAAATCATCCAGAGAAAATGGTCACATGACATACAGTAGAACAAAGGTAAGGATGACAGCAAAATACTCATTGTCCAGAAGACAGTAGAACAAATCTTCAAGGAACTGGGATGAAATAAAAACTTACCAGACATACAAAATTTGAAAGAACACATCACTGGGAGACACTCATTACAAGAAATGTTGCAGGAAGTCCTTTTGGCAGAAATAAAATGATACAGATAAAGATCCAGATCTACATAAATCAACAAGAACCACTAGAAGTGTAAATATAGGGGTACTTATAAAAAAGCTTTTCTGTATTATTTAAATCTTTTAAAAAGAAAATTGGCTATTTAAAGCAAATGTAATAACAATGTATTGTAGGGCTTATAACACATGTAGAAGTAAAATGCATGAAAATAGTAGCATAAAGGTCCAGATAGGAGAAATAGATGTATGCTGTTTTAATGCTCTTATACCATACATGACGTGGAATAATAGCACTTGAAGGTAGACTGTGTTAAGTGAAAAATGTGTAATATAAGCCTTACAATGACCATTAAAAAAACATAGAGTAATAACTGACAAACTAGCAAATGAGTAAAAAATGAAATAATAAAAAATACCCAGTCCAAAAAGAAGGCAGAAAAAGAAGAAGGGAGCAAAGAATATATGGTACAAACAGAAAACAGATACCAAAAAGATGGATTTAAATCCAGCTGTATTGATAATTACATTAAATGTGAATGGTCTAAATATCCCTATTAGAGGGCAGAGAGTGTCAGATGGGATAAAAAGCAAGATCCAGTTGTCTATTGCCTACAAGACACCCATATTAAATAGAAAGCCCTAAATACATTAAAAGTATGGAGGAAGATATACCATGCTAACATTAATCACAGAAAGCTGGAGTGACTGTATTTATATTAACCCAAAATAGATCTCATAGTAAAGAATATTACAAAAAGGAACATTTCATGGTAAAGTGGTCAGTTCATCAAAAAGACATAAAACCTTAAATGTTTATGTGCATAGTAATATAGCTTCAAAATGCATAAAGCAAAAACTGATAGAAGAGCATGCAGAAGTAAACAAGTCCACAGTTAGTTAGATTTCAACACTCCTCTGTCAATAATTGGTAGATAAATATGTAGAAAATCGGTAAGTTAGAAAAGATTTGAAGAAATCTTGAACTAATTAACATTTGTAGAGCACTCCACCCAATGAGAGCAGAAAGAATATATATTCTTTCAAGTATATATGGAGCATTTACCAAGATAGAAGGGCTATGAAACTAACCTCAGTACATTTAAAAAGATTCATATTATACAAACAACACAATAAAAAATGGGAAAGGATTTGAATACAAAGAATATATACAGACAATAGCAAATATAAAGAATCAACAGGTGAAGAGATGCTTGACATTCTTAGTCATTAGTAAAATGCAATAGATCATAATGAGATACCACTATACACCTATTAGAATGTATAAAATTCAGAAGACAAAACACACCAAATATTGGCAAGATGTGAACAACTGAAACCCTCATAGACTGCTTGGGAGAATATAAAAATAGCACAGCCACTTTGAAATACAGTTTGGCAGTCCCTTGAAAAATTAAACATATACCCTCCAGATGTCCCAGCCATTCTATTCCAAGTATTTACCTGGGATAAATGAAAGCATATGTCCCTACAAAGACTTGTACATCATGACAGTTTTATTTGTAATAGACTCCAACTGGGAGCAACTCAAACCATCAACAGGTAAATGGCTAAGTAAATTTTGTTATTTTGTATCCATACAATGGAATACTACTCAGTAATAAAAAGGAATAAATCACTTATGCAAAAGGCATGGTTAGATCTCAAAATAAGTTGTGCTAAGGGAAAGAAGCTACCTCCCTTCCATAAAAAGAGCGCATATTCTATGATTTCAATTATACACAATTCTAGAAAATGCAAACTAATCGATAGTGACAGAACACAGATCAGTGTCTAGGGATGGGGTGAGTTTGGGAAAGGGTATAGGATTGGGGAGATGACAAAGGGGCATCAGGAAATTTAGGGGTTGATGGATATGTTAATATCTTGATTGTGGGTATGGTTTGTGGGTATAAACATGTCAAAACTTGTCAAATTATATATATTAATATGTGCAGTTTATTGTACATAAATTGCAATGAAATGAAACTCAAAATTTTTGCCTCAAAATGCTTGGAATGTTACTGA